CCACCGTGCTGCTTTCTGATCGCATGCTGCTCGTTGATTATTCTTTACAGGCTGTATCGCAATGGGGCACGGACTTTGAGATGATAGCGCGCATGTTTCCCTCCCGCACGCGCAAAGAGATCAAGCAAAAGTGGACGAGCGAAGAGAGACGCAATGCGCACATGATCGATGCGGCCTTTGCGCGCCGATTGCCAGTGGACCTGCAGAGCTATGGGGAGATTGCGGGCGTCGATCTGAGCGGACCTCCTCCTGTCATCAAGGCTCGGACGCCTCCACCCATCGACTTCAACGCTGTGAATTTGAAGAGCAAGAAGAAAGAGGGAGATGAGGAAGAGGTGGTGGGGGAGGATGAGGAAGCTCGCAGCGAGCGCGAACTTGGCCCAAATGGAGAAGAGATCGTCGAGGAAGGAGAAGATCCGATCGATGCCAAGTTTGCTCTTTCGCAAGAACGAAGCAAGAGGAACACCAGCGCTACTCCTTCTGTTGGTGCTGCTACACAATCTGGAGCAGAGAGCAGCGCAGCTGGGTCGGACGTCGAGGCTGTCACCGAGGGTGAAGATGACGAAGACCTACCTGAAAGCACTGCATTGCTCAAGCGCAAGAGAGCTACTAGCAATGCGAGCGAAGGCTCGGCCTCGGCGTCTGTGCCGACGATCAGTAGACCTAGAGCGGGCAGCACGACCAGCGCCACTTCCGCGCAAACAAGAAGAAGGGCAGGCTCTTCTAGCGCTCCTGCTGCCTCGACGTCCGGCGCAGCCACTGCGGCTGGGGCCAAACAGAGAAAGACGGAGGCGGAAAAGAAACGCGCTGAGCGCGATAGCAGACAGGAACGCGAGAAGAGGCACAGAAGAAATGTGCCGGATGTGGGAGAGGAAGAGGTGGTGGGCGTCATCGAGCCTCAAACTCGTCGACAGGTTCCTCGACGCGGTTGATGTACTCCTGGACAGCTTCATGTGGAGCACATTTGCAAGCCCATATCTTCTCAAGATATGTACCATTAGCCAATCGATGTATCATTTTCAAAGAGGCATCTGATGAGGCGCCGCACGAGGTCCTCAAGGGCTGAGCGAGTGGGGTTCGGTCTTGACGTGCAAAGGGGATTCCACGTCGAACTTTTGCTCGATGGGTTCGGGAGCGTCAAAGTGTCTTGTAGAGAGCAACAAGGCGCAAGCGATCCACTCTGTCATTGTAGCTGCGAGGTATTCGACGAGGACAAAGTGGGAAGAGAGACCGTTCTGGTCGTAGATTGCCGGATTGTAGTAGATGAGGCTGTCATCGACTGCTTGAGCGATGCCAAAGGCGCCCCTCGCTGCCAAGAAGGGCCAAGCGACGACGAGAGGCACGAGGGTGAGGTGCCATTTGGCCATGCTGCTGTTCTTGTACCTGATTGCGCAGGATGCCAAACTAGCTGCAAGTGCAATGTTGATGAGCAAAAAGATGCTCTGTCCCACTGCACGAAGAACCTTGCATGTTTGCAGGTTGGAATTGCTGCTCCAATTTGCTTCGGCGCCTGCGATGCCCGAAGAGGAGGACAGGTCGGACTTGCCGCTGGTCAAGAGCGATCCGCCGGTGATGATCATTGCGTTTGCCCCGATCAAGAGCCAATGGATCCACGGCATGACGCCTCCTTCTCCGCCCAACAAGCGTTTCCACAATGCGCGTTTCTCTCCTCCGCGAGCTTTGCGTGCTTTGGAGATTTCTCCTTCCGAAGGCGCGAGCCAGGAGGTGCCGAATGCGTGATGTTCGAACCAGACGAGTTGACGAGCCATAAAGAGCACTAGGGAGAAGTAGCCTTCGACTGCAAGCACGAGATAGACGACTAGCAATTGCCATTCCTTCCACACCAGAACTCCAAAGGCTATGGCTACGGCTTGAGAAGCCAATCGAACGAGGACGTGAAAGAAGAGAATGAACCAACGAGATCCGATACCCTCTTTGACCGGTCGGCTGATGACCAGCTGCAAGATGGAGACGAACAGGATAGCGTACAACGCCAAGAAGACGGTGCCTGCAATCGCCAGAGGTGCGAACATGATTGCGCGCGCGGGGCGTGAGGGAGATATTTGTTGGGCAAGGGGTGCGCGGACGTGTGATGTGTGGTCTTCGCTTGCTTCGGTAAGGATGTGTGGATCTGAGTGCGTTTGCTCAAGGCGGCCGACAAAGATGAGTGTGCGGCAATGCGTTTGGGCGATTGCACCACCTCGACAGCCGTGCTTCTTATACGCCATCCACGTTCGTCATCGCGAATCGTGGGACCCAGCCTGCAGCGCTGCGCAGACAATCGGGGAAGAGAGAGTCCGCACACAATGTCCAAATCGAATATCGCACAGTCATCAGCGGGATCGCTACATAGCGAGCGTCGATCTATGCTGGGAAGCGCCAGCATCCGCTATCACTGCTGCGTTTGGACAAATATCACTCAGACTTGTGGCTGTGGCGCATGGACCACGCTACGCCTAGCGTTTGTTTCTATATGTGCCTAGCTCGCATATATGCACTCATGTTGTCTGCCCCATCGGCGAAATTCGTCGATCGAGGCCACATCATCTGCATCGATGCACCCGTATACCTTGCACCACTCAAGACTCACGCCTCACGCCTCACGCCTCACGAGACTGTACGCGACGCCCATTCGCATGGCATGTACGCATCGGCACCGGCACCGCGCGCGCGCGCGCAAATCTCTGCTTCTCGCCGCGGCAGAGCTGCATGCATGGACTCGCGTGACTGCTGCGTGGCGGCCGCGCGCGGGGGGTCTGCATAAATAACATCTCGGATCCTAGCTGCTGTACCTACTTTTATGCCGGCATGCGAAGGAAGTATACGCGCGCGCGCGGGAGATTAGATTGCGAATCGTTGCCCCCGCGGTCGATCGCGATGCAATGCCGACCTCCGACGGCATTTATTCAACTCGAGAACGCGTCCGCGCGTCGCTCGCTCGGCCGAGGGGAAGGATAGAGTCATGCGGGATGCGGGATGCGGGATGTGGGATGTCCATCTTGTTGTATCACACATGAATGAGCGTCGCCAGCATTCTGATTCTATTTTGACTTCGATTGAAAGTCATGCCTGCGTCGACGCATGCATGCCGCTCAGCGTGAGTAGAGACACGAGTACCGGTATAGCAGACTAGTCACGAGTCACAGTGTAGTCGTGAGTCAAAGTGTAGTCGTGAGTCAAAGTGTAGCAAATCGCGATTGCATCGCCCCATGCAAATCGGTGACTGCAGCTCGAGTCACGAGTGTTATAGGTTATGATTCAGTGATTCACATTCACATTGTGGACTGACTACATGTGATGAACGCAATGAACGCGCTTTCTTGTTCCCTTGGCAGCAGGTCTCAGTGCCAGCATACGAGCTCCTCGAGGTCTTGACGAGCTTGTTTTCCAGTCAACTTGCGCACGCGTTCCAAGTCCGCATAGCCCATCGCTACACCGCACACCACCGACTCCCTCTCCTTCAAAGGTAGCATCTCCGAATAGATGGTGTTGTAAGTAGCATGCGCTTCCTGATGAGGCAACACGGCAAGACCATGAAAGCACGAATCAGCGGTCGACCAATCCTTACACAATTGCGGGTGCCGGGGGGGCGAAACACAATTGAAGACAAAGCAAAACAAACGTACCTGTACACAAGCTTCTAAACCCCGAGCTCTGGCGGCCATTAGCAGACTCATGACAAAGAAGCCGCAATCCAAGTAAGCTCCCGTCGGGCTGATGTCGGCCGTGGTGATGATCAAAGCGACGGGCGCATCGAAAAAGTTCCAGTTCCTCTCCGTCGTCGCTCTCCTCTTCTCCTTGTCCTCTCGCGCTATTCCCAAAGGACCTGAAAGTGTTGCGCCAAACTGTTGGCGACGCGAAGCGAGATCGCTGTAGGCGCTTTGGGATAGCAGCTCGTTGGGGGGATAAAAGACGTAAGGGGCTAGAGAAGAGTAGCGAGAGAGATGCGAATAAATGCGTACGAGCCAGTCAATCATTACAGTCACGCAACGCATCCGATCTTGGGGTGCAAACAAAAACGCGGGGGGAAATGCGAGTGCTAGGCCTCACCAGAGAAATCTTCATTGTCCCTGTACGCCCCAGTGATCCGCTCGGCGATCTTTGATCTGACTCGGCCCTCTCCAATTACGTGCACCTTCCAAGGTTGGAAATTGCTTCCGCTCGGTGCTCTGGTCGCCGAAAGAAAGATTTCCTTCAAGGTCTCTTTGCTGACGGGATGAGAAGAGGAAGAATGGAAGTACCTGCACGAGTAACGTGTGCGAAGGAGAGCGTCGGTAGGTGTGGGTCCGGCTGGGATGTGCGCGTGATCGTCGGCCGGCGGATGGTCCGACGAGTGATCTGACAAATCGTAGAATTGCGAGTGATACTCTTGAGTGGGCATCTTGAGGCCGCGCTGTACCACCCCACTGCTTCCGGACGTTGCTCCGAGTCACAATGTTTTGGGGGGGGG